AAGGGAGGAGATGGAGAATGAAAACCAGGTATTTTCAAATAATTCTTACTTAAAATTAACTAATTTTTGTTTTATTTTGAAATATTTGGGATTGGTGTCAGATTTCTGCTGAGGTAACTCCATCTGTGGAGGGTCAATCGTTCCTGGATGCTTCGGAAATTGAGGTGCATTGCATGTACACTAAAATATAACATTTAAAGTTTATTTTGTTTGTTTTTTGAAACATTCGGAAACAGAACAAGTTATTCGACCATGGAAATAGTCAATATAATGTTACAGTAATTGGTTACAGTCGAATGCAGTAGAATCTATTTTTTGATTAGTTCTTGATTTTAATTCTAGGTTCTAGCGTTGGATTGCACCATTGATATTGATAAAATACCTGGAATGAAGTTAACCCTGAAATCTTCTTTGGGGGAGTTCCAGAATCTGATGGCGAAGGACTTGGAGATCATCCAGAAGTCCTTGATTTGTTTAGGGAGAACACCCCTTTTTCTCATTTTTTGGATGTTGAGTGTATTCCTCCTCCTCTGTTCCTATGGCAACTCATTGCGAGGGAAGCCAAAATAAAGAGGAAAGGAGAGATGTAGTTCGTTTTCAAAGGAGTTCCTGTCAGGTACTCCTTGAGGGAGTTTTCTCTCATTAGCGGCCTCAACTGCTCTCATCTTAACGCCGGCTTTGAAAATTCTAAGGAATTAACCTCTGCAAAGAATGATTTCATTCGAGCTCACTTTCCTTCTGCAAAGAAGGGAAAGAAATCTGCTGCAGTCACATACAAGATGGTTGTGCAGCGTTTCTTGGAAATTTGTAAAGGATTGGACAGGGAAAAGAAGAAAGAAGGCCAGGAGATGGATGTTGTGAAAATGGTAGCACTTTTGTTTGTTGTTGTTGTTCTCTTGGGTCTTGCTGATCGAGACAAGTCTGCAATTCCAGATTGGATTCTGGGCATGATTGCACAGTGGACAGCAGTTCTAGGTTTCCCATGGGGAACCTGGGCATTTATGGAGTCCTTGGGGTCACTAAGGAAAGACCTAGCTGCTAAGGCCAAATCAATTGGAAGAGGGGCCTCATCAACCATGTACTATACTGGTTTCTTGCTTCCCATTGGGGTAAGGATTTTTTCAATTATAATATTTCTTATAATTTTTATTGAAATGTGATTTCATTGAAACTTTCAATATGAAAAGATCCTTTTTCTGGAGAGTTACTTGGGGACTGGAGCAAACATTACAACAAGAAGCCCACAGACATCCCCAGCTAGGCCAAGAATCTGCCTTTGGGGTGAGATTCCAATAAAGAAGAAAATCACCCACACAGAAATGGATGCTTACGTTGGGGACGTGCAGGTATATACATATTATACCTCAATAAAAGATTAAAAATTAAATGAATTCCAAAAATAAATTGTCATTGTTTTGGTTGCTGACTCTAAAGAGCATTCTTGTTCTCGATAAGTTTGAGGCAACTGCAGAGTGGTATTTGAACTTCCATCCTCTAGAGACCACAAAACACCCCGAGTTGGATGCATTTGTGGCAAAATTAGAGTGTAGAGGGGAAGTCCACATTCCGGTGGAGAGGAAGAGAAAACCCTGGAATGTCCCTTCACCAACAAGAGATAATTCTGAAGAGCGTAATAAGCACATCTCCTCTCCCCAAGAATCTCAGAGGAGTCAGAGCCTTAGGGAATCTCCTTCTAGAGTCTCTCATTCCAACATCCCAAATCCATCGTCTCCTACCCCTCACCCCGCCAAGCCTTCATCCAATTCCTTTCAAGAACTCTTTGATCGAATGTCAAAGAAAATTGATAACATTGCAGAAGAACAAAGAAAGAGGTTTGAAGTGCTTGAAAAAAAGTTGATTCTTTGTCAACTTTAATAAATCAAAAGATTGTGAATAAGGTATGATGAAAGCTTTTGAAAGTCATCCAATAATTTTAAGTGATCAGAACTGATCTATTCTTATGTAAAAATATGAAGGTGAATGTAACTGAATCAGGAGAAGAACCAACCAAGAATCCGCAAAAGGTACGTCGAATACTGTCGAATACATATGAAGCAATCGAATGTATACGAAATGTTTGAATACCTCGAATGCAGTCGAAACGTTTTGTTCAGTTTTAAGTTTGTAAGATCTGTTAACGTTCAGGTGCCAGAGACGACAATCACGGGTGATTGTGAGGAGACTGAGGCATGCAATCCTTCCCCTGACCATAAGGTTTAGGGTTTAATAGAGTTATTTCATTTTGCTTGCATATATTAAATGAAATAATAATATCATTTCATGCTTCTTTCTCATCATTTTCATACTTCATACTCTATAGGTTTCTCCAAGACTTGGTATTCTCCAAATTGTTGGGGAAATAAAACAAGAGCACGAGAATCAACCTTCAACTCTTTCTTATTCTGTTCTTAGTTTGGAGAACAGAAAGGTAAAGTTCTAATCTTAACTTACAATGCATTGTCCTTTCGAAAATAGATTCATATTTTTGTTCTTGTCTGCAGGCCGAGTCTACCCACGAGACAATGGGAACAGAAGATGCTACCTCAATGAAGCCTCTGCAGGAAATGGTAAAATAATAAATCTTACTACAAGTGCCTTCGAAATAGAGTCGAAGATTTCAAATGTATTCGAATTATCTGTAGGTTGATCCTAGCCATGAGGTAATGGAGACAGACGCTGCTGCTTCTATCTACAGGCTGAGTCTACCCACGAGACAATGGGAACAGAAGATGCTGCCTTAATGAAGCCTCTCCAGGAAATGGTAAAATAATAAATCTTACTACAAGTGCCTTTGAAATAGAGTCGAAGTTTTCAAATGTATTCGAATTATCTGTAGGTTGAGTCTAGCCATGAGGTAATGGAAACAGACGCTGCTGCTTCTATGAAACCTGTGCAGGCTGAGTCTACCCACGAGACAATGGGAATAGAAGATGCTGCCTCAATGAAGCCTCTGCAGGAAATGGTAAAATAATAAATCTTACTACAAGTGCCTTCGAAATAGAGTCGAAGTTTTCAAATGTATTCGAATTATCTGTAGGTTGAGCCTAGCCATGAGGTCATGGAAACAGACGCTGCTGCTTCTATGAAAACTCTACAGGACAAGGTAAATTCTGGACGCTTTGCATTCGAAATGCAGTCAATATCTTCGAAGTATTTACAACATGTTTATTTACACTCTATTTAACTGTAGGTTGTTTCTCCCCCGAAGGAATTGGAAGACGAGGCTGAAATTACTGATGCCATTGTGTATGGAAAGGTTTGGTTTCTTACTTCAAGTGCTTTCGAATTGGGGTCGAAGATTCCGAAATAACTCACTTTTTTTAGAGAGTGAAAAAGAAGTCAGCCAGTTTGAAGTCTCCTTATACAGCGGACGGGAGGAAGAAAAAGAAAGCCGATGAGCTCTTATCTAAGCCGCCAACTAAAGTAGATCTTTTGGAATTTAAGAACTTCATCGTAAAAGCAATTAAAGAGGACTGCCCTGTACAATGCTACCTCGCGCAGTACAAGGAGATTCAGGGATTTGTGAAAACGTGGTGGACTGACCTTATCACTCCATGTCTTTGGGTAGCGGATACTGTAAGTTGCATTAACCTTTCATTCTTCGTACACAAACAATGCTTATATCTTTCGTTTTCTAATAACATACTACTTTTGTTTGTTAACTAGAATCTGAGTGAGTACCTTTACGTCCTGAGAAGACGTTTATGCAATGACGATGGAGACTCATGCATTGCGCCTTTTGAATTCTTCAATTACGTGAACTCTTATGCGCATGACCCACAATGGCCTGTTTTGTCTGGACCCCTTGAAAAGATTGTGGATGGTACATACAGCGAGGGGCCGGAAGAATTTAAAACCAAAGCCTAGAAAAAGAACACTAAGTACGTATATCATTTGAAAGGCACGGGTTCACATTGGTTCTATATCAAGGCTGACTTTGAGAGGTGTCGCCTCATCGTGCATGACTCCCTTAAATGGATAACTTCGAATGAGAAGATAGAAAGTTTGGTGATAGATGAACTTAGAGGGTTTAAAGGCATTGCTGAAATTAGAGAAATCGGCAAGCACGGATATGCCGATTGGGAAATCGAATACTGCCCAGTACCCCAACAGATTGATTGTGACTGCGGCATCTTCGCAGTAAAAATGTTAGAGTTGGGAGCACAACATCAGAATTTTAAATCTTTGGAGAAGATGACAAAAGAAAAGATGGCCAACATGCGTTTAGAAATTGCTTACTACATATGCAAGGAGTACCATTGTAGAAACAAAAAATAAATTCTGTGGTGGATAAATATATTATTAATAAAATTGTGGTGGATGCATATGATTTCATGGAATAGCATATATTATTAACAGTATTATTAATTATGTGGTGGATACATATGATTGCATGGAATTGCATGGAGTTGCATGTAAACACGAGTAACTAATATTACGGGATTACATTCTAAAACTTGTTCGCATAAAATTACATAAAAATCAATAATTCCATGAAATTAGCTCGGATCGATCTTTGAGTAATTTCTTTTTGATCTCTTCAATATTTCGGTCTCTACACAAGGTGCTGCTCATGCATTCCCCTAGATCTAGAGATTGGGTTTGGCTTGCATTTGTAATGTCCGTTTGTTCGATCAGACAACACCATGCCTCTGAACTAGCACGCATGCACGTTTCGTCATCATGTGCTGCAGCCGAGGGATGCATTATCTGATCGAAAAAACCATTACTACCGTATTATCTGATCGAAAAACCCATTAGGAAAGTTAGAGAAAAACAACGTACTTGAAATATCCATTTCTATCAATCAATGAAAGAAAGGTTAGAAATTCTGATGTGGGTAAAGAAACAGGATTGTAAGATATGGAATACATTGATGAAGAATACTAACAATGAAGAATATAGGAGGGATATATGAATTTAAAAGGGAGGGGTAAGTGGAGTACTTGTAAAGGTGATTGAATATGAGTGCAATTCGAACTGAATTTATTTCGGGTAGCTAAAGCGGTCAAATCAGCTTTTATTACTCTCGTTGATTTCTAAGAGCTCAGGAAGTTAAATGAGATGTAATTTCGTTCATTAATAATAATTAATAATAATAATAATAATGATAATGATAATGATAATAATAGAGAGGGCCGTTGAGATAAATCCAAAATGAATAACTTCGACTGTCCCGACTAATATTTGAATGCATTTCGAATGGACTTTACATAGTAATTAGTTAAAAATTAAAATGGAAGAAGATATGTGTGAGCGGTTGCATTCAATTCGGGTAGATAAAGAGCGGTCAAATCAGCTTTTATTACTCTCGTTAATTTCTAAGAGCTCAGGAAGTTAAATGAGATGTAATTTCGTTCATTAATAATAATGATGATGCTGATAATGATAATGATAATGATAATGATAATGATAATAATAGAGAGGGCCGTTGAGATAAATCCAAAATGAATAACTTCGACTGTCCCAACTAATATTTGAATGCATTTCGAATGGACTTTATTACCCTTATTACATGGATCACATGATTGCATGGAATTGCATGGAGTTGCATGTAAAGACGAATAACTAAAATTACATAAAATTCAATAATTCCATGAAATTAGCTCGGATCGATCTTTGAGTAATTTCTTTTTATCTCTTCAATATTTCGGTCTCTACACAAGCTGCTACACTACTAGCACGAATTACGTACTCTTCGTTTGAATCAATGTTGCAGTAGTAAAGATGGGTTTTACCAGAATCCCAATCATCATGTGATTGCATGGAGTTGCTTCCCTAGAACACGAAAATAGAGTGGAGTGGAGAATGGTTGATTCTGTGTGGTTTCCTTGTGGAAAACACGACAATAACCACACCAATTGCTTCCCTACACGAGATAATGCAGAAGATGCCGTGGAGCATCTACTGCAGTAATGGATAAAACGGATAATGGTATACGAGATAACCATTATGACTGTTTTGCCTTATCGAGATAACCATTAGGACCGTTTTACAAAATTGAGTAAAACCATTACGAAAGAGAGGTGAGAAGTTTTGATGATTGTAAAGAAATAGGCATGTAAAATATGGAATACATTAAAGAAAGTGTGTTTAATCTGGAGAGGGTGCAATGAATTTATAGGGAGGGGGGCGTATTTGACTGATATTTGAATGGAAACGAATGGACTTTTACACCCTAATTAGTACGGAGTTATTAAATACATGAATGAAGATAAGTGTGAACGGTTGGCATCCAGTTCTGGTAGATAAAGATGTGTGAACGGTTAACATTCTTAAATAAGATTTAAATTTCGGTCTTTATTATGTTAATAATAATAATAAGGATAAAAATAATAATTCAATATTATTGGAATAAATATTCGATTATTTCGACTACATTTGGAACGTATTCGAAGGCATGATTGAATTGTGTATGCACGATTTACATTTAATTGGCGTAGACGAAGAGTTGTAAATTCAGATTTTTTTATTCTTGTTTTTTTATAGGTTTTCATTAGCTTAAATTGAATGGAATTTCGTACAATAAAAAAATACTAAAAACAGCAACATTCGACCTTCTCGATGAGTATTTGACCACATTTCGAATGGCACTATTACACCCTAAAAAAGAATTCTTGTTTTATAAATTACGTTACTTTCAATGACTAATGGAAGTTTATAATTAAAAGAGCAGTGAGAGGAAATTATGGTGGGAAGTGAAAGTAGAACAATAATCTGAATTTTAATATAAAAAGTTTTTATTAAAAAATACATAAAATCAAACTTCAAGTACGCATAAAAATACCCTTATGCGTATTTCAGGATATGGATGAGAAAATCACAATCACCAAAATGTTGAAAAAACAGAACATGACTCTCATTTAGGTCGTGATTCTCAACAAACGCTGGCCATGATTCCCTGAAGAACATATTTTCATGGCTGCATGCTAGAACCTTTACTTCAAAAGTGTGTGGCGCTAGTTTGGAATGGAGAGTCACAACTGTGTTATCCGGGAAACAAAATTGAACATGTCGGGGTAGCGCCTACAACAGATCCAATGAATTTCTGAGTTATAAAATATAACTTTAAAAAAATTAAGAAAATATAATGAAAAAGGTATGAACAAACCAATCGCTCTTTGAACTTGGGATCATGCTCGAGGATTACTGTAAAATCGAACATAATGAACTTTTTTATTTTCGCAGGCAATACGGAACAGAAGATTGGCAAAACCCTAAACATAGTTGCGTATTTATATAGGCCGAGCAAGGCGGAAAGGGACGAAAATGATAATAGACAGGAATTTTTAAAAGAGTCCCGCCATTTCATGAATAGGCGGAACGGGAAAATTTAGTCCGAAATTTCAAGGCGGGATGGGAAAATTAGTCCGCCATTTCATGAAAAGGTGGGATGGGAAAATGTAGTAGATGTAGCAATCTAATTAAGAGTTTAACTGTAGTGGTAGTCTTTACCTGTTGGTGTTAAGAACTAGGTTCGGACCGTAGTGGATGTAGCAGTCCAGTTAAGAGGATAACTGTAGCAAGGTCGTACCTGTTGGTGTTAACAACTAAGTTCGGACCGTAGTGGATGTAGCAGTCCAGTTAAGAGGATAACTGTAGCAAGGTCGTACCTGTTGGTGTTAACAACTAAGTTCGGACCGTAGTGGATGTAACAGTCCAGTTAAGAGGATAACTGTAGCAAGGTCGTACCTGTTGGTGTTAACAACTAAGTTCGGACCGTAGTGGATGTAGCAGTCCAGTTAAGAGGATAATTGTAGCAAGGTCGTACCTTTTGGTGTTAACAACTAAGTTCGGACCGTAGTGGATGTACCAGTCCAGTTAAGAGGATAACTGTACCAAGGTCGTACGTGTTGGTGTTAAAAATTAATTTCGGACCGTAGTGGATGTAGCAGTCCAGTTAAGAGGATAATTGTAGCAAGGTCGTACATGTTGGTGTTAACAACTAAGTTCGGACCGTAGTGGATGTAGCAGTCCAGTTAAGAGGATAACTGTAGCGGCAGTCTTTACCTGTTGGTGTTAAGAATTAATTTCGGACCGTAGTGGATGTAGCAGTCCAGTTAAGAGGATAACTGTAGCAAGGTCGTACCTGTTAGTGTTAACAACTAAGTTCGGACTGTAGTGGATGTAGCAGTCTAGTTAAGACGATAACTATGTTCAAGGTCGTACCTGTTGGTGTTAAAAATTAATTTCGTACCGTAGTGGATGTAGCAGTCCAGTTAAGAGGATAACTGTAGAGGTAATTGTAACAATTATAGTCGGACTTCAGACTGTTAATGAAGAGTATTATAAAAAAATAGAAAAAATAATAATATCTAGAAATATTGAAATAAAATCTAAAAATAAAAAAATATAAATCTAGAAACAAGGTCCCCCCACCAAGAGTACTTTTCCACTACAATATTGATTAGCGCAATAGTAATGGTCCTACTTGTCCAAATTACAGTCAACATTGGGAATGTAGTACGGTTCCGTACTTCTCCAAGATGTACAAAATTAGAGATACGACAAAGACAAAATTGGACAAAATTTTGTTAAATATAGACGAAATTTTGTATGGAGTAATTTTCTGTAAGTCCCACGCCACATTTATGTCAGATGAGAATTGAAAAGTCAAAATTTCTCATAAATTCCAACCTTTATCTTCTTCTTCTTCTTCTTCTTCTTCTTCTTCTTCTTCTTCTTCTTCTTCTTCTTCTTCTTCTTCTTCTTCTTCTTCTTTTCTCGTCGCTTCGCTTTCGCCGCTTCCAACGCTTTGACTGCAACTCCCTCTCTTTATACCCTCACGAACACTCTCCAACGCCACTGTGAGTAAAAATGCCGCAATCAGATTTCGTTGTGGTCATCAAAAGGGATGCTTATACCAGCACGGTAAGATTTCATTTGAATGCATATGACTGACACATGCATGCTTGGCTTTAAACTCGATTTCATGAATTACAGGTCATTCCTTCTTGCTATCATCCACGGGAGGAGAGGTTGGATATATATACTCGGATTTGGTGCTATCCAGTTCGAGTTTTTCTTGGAGATGACGGCAAGCATCGATTCGCTGCCGAGAATGGATGGAGATACTTTCTTTATGACCACCAATGCCAAAATCTTTGGCATATTCTGTTCAAAAAATTATCAAAGACAGCATACACAGCCATTGTGATTTCGACCCTTGGTTCAGAAGTTGACTACCCAATAAGAATTCCTGATTATGATTCTGATAAGACTTTGAAATATGGTATATTTTACCCGCCCTCCCCGAATTCTTTCTAATTCTAACTGTAATGTATGCGGTGATTTGCAATTATCAGATGCAGATGATGTTACAGATGAGGATGATGACGTCTTTATTTGCAAGTTGGAAGAATCACACTTTCTGGAGTCATCCCAGAAGCTGGTATGCTTTTAAAATATCATTTTTAATGAACAATTCGACGTATTTGACCTTTTTGACCAAATTCGACCAATCACAAATTTTTTGTTCTTGATTAATTTTTGGAATACATGGTGTATTTTCCTCAATCAATTAATGACTTTTAATCCGTTATTGTCTCAGCCCTTAAGTGAAGAATTTTGCGAAGCAAATGGATTTGTAGAGGGAAAAAGAGATGTCACTCTCATAGGACCCAACATGCAGCCCGTGGTCTGCACACTCAAGGTTGATTGTATTGGTGATGGGTTCCTGAAAAGAATGTGGCGTTACATATATATATATATATATATATATATATATATATATATATATATATATATATACACACACACACACACACACTTATATATGCATAACATGCAGTCGAATACGTTCCAAATGTAGTCGAAATGATCGAATTATTATTATTATTATTACTATTATTATTATTATTATTATTATTATTTATTATTATTAATTAGAGTGTAAAAGTCCCTTCGTTCCATTCAAAATTCAAATATTAGTCAGTGTACTCCATATTAAAAAATTACCAATATTTTACACAATCAATTTGATAAATTCGACTGCAATGGAATTATTTTTAATTGAAATAATCGAATTTATTTTTATTCGAAACTTTTCGACCTCTCTTCGAATACAATTACATGCAATCAATATTGTTCAAGTCATTTGTCGTAGATGTGTCTTTACGAGGTCTCTTTGCGCTAGGGATGGCAATTCAACCCGAACCCGAGCTTAACCGACCCGACCGACCACTAAAAAATCCGAACCCGAACCGAGAATAAAATAATCCGAACCCGACCCAAATTTTTTTACCCGAACCCGACATCGGGTCGGGTCGGGTGTGGGTTTATTATTTTACCCGACCCGAACCCGCACCCGACCCGACTCAAACCCGAATATTTTATAACTTAAAAGCCTATCTATGGATATAATGAGCACTCCGTATAATCTCTTGACAAAGTGCTACTATACCAAATATGCCTTTTATAATCATTTTTTATAATTTCTTAATAAAAAAATGAGACACAAAAAAAATTAGATGTAATCTTTTTAAAATTATTGGGGTACACCGAATTGATTATTAGTTAAAAGTCGGGTTCGGGTCGGGTTCGGGTTTCTGGTTGGAATCTCGGGTTCGGGTCGGGTTCGGGTTTTGGCTTAAAAAGTCGGGTTTCAGGTCGGGTTCGGGTTTCGGTTTTTAAAGTCGGGTCGGGTTCGGGTATAGTACTATCCGACCCGAACCCGACCCGTTGCCATCCCTACTTTGCGCATGTCCGTATTGTATGCCCTTTTCCTTGGCAACCAGAACATGTCAATTTATATTTTTTCGTGCCTCGCCGTCCGATGGAAATCTCTTCGTTGTTGGCCTTCCTCTTTGCTTGTTCAATGTAGGGGGTTTGACTTCTATGAGCTCCATTCCATCGGCATCCCAGTCATCTTCATGTGGCACGGGGTAGATTGTTTCCGCGTATGCGATATCCATGTATTCCTTTGTGTATAATTTACTACACAGACTATAACAATCTATGCCTGTGCGTTCTGAACAAGCGAGTGCATGCAAGCAAGGTATCTTATCCTTGTCAAACACTTGGCAGGTGCAAGTTTTATTTGAAAGGTTAACAACATGGTCAGAGTGCACTCCCTTGACTTCAAACTCGTATTGATTCAACTGATGACATTCCAAGCGCAAGGCGGTGTTGAATCTCTTGCGCATTTCAGCTTCAACAGCCGGGGTAACAGGGGGATTTGACGCATCGAGAGACCTTAACTCTTGTTGCCTTTTTCCACGCCATCTTGATGTCATGTTCTGGACTGCTTTTAAAAGTGCAACAATAGGAAGTTCCATGTCCTCCATCAACACGCTATTCATTGATTCGGCGCCATTTGTCGTCATGATTTGGTACCGGTTTATTTCAAAATACGCCCTAGCCCATCTTTTCTTTGGGATATTGTCAATGTAATTGCCAGCAGCTGGGTACCTTGCTTTCAAGTCGCCATACAACCTCTTGAATGACCGTTTGGTGTATGCATTTGCAAGGTTCTCAAAAAGTTTATCCAACCCCTTTTTGCACATCTTTGGATAATGCTTCCTCAAATTAAAAGTGATGTGATACCTACACAATCCATGATCCGCAGTCGAATAGTGCTTTCTTATCCCATTTCGAATGCTAATGTGTCTGTCCGAAATGAACACCAAGTCTCTAGAACCAGGAATTAACTTCCTTAAATGGCCAAAAATCCAAGAGTATGAATCGTTGTTTTCAGAGTCCACAATAGCCCAGGCAAGGGAATATTGGTGAAAGTCACCATCTTGAGCCGTTGCAATGAGTAAAACACCCTTATAGGATGCCTTAAGAAATGTTCCGTCAACGGCGATGACACGCCTCAATGCTTGAAATCCAGAAATACATGCATGAAATGCTATGAATACATACTTGAAATGACCCCCCTCATCAAGTTCTAGGTGGGTTGTTACAAGATCATTATTTGCTTTCTTCAACATGTGCAAGTATAATGGAAGCTTTTCGTAACTAGTCTCGGGCATCCCAAACATGGCTTCATTTGCGAACTTCCTACTCCACCAAGCCTTTGCATACGTGATCGGCATGCTCTTGTTTTTCATGAAAGTCATGATATTTTTGGGCCTAATTAAATCATCTGTCCCATCAAAACTCTCTAAAATTAAATCTGAGACATATCTCGAAGTTGTTTGGCTGTGTGTTTGGCTACGGTCACCAACTGTACAATTATGTTTCCCGTTGTATTTTTTAATAGCGAATCGAGATGTGTTTTTACGATGGATGCCATCATCATCCAAGAGCATTTGTCACTCTTGCATTTCAACACATACCTCTTCTTGTCGCTCTTCACAGTCTTTGTTTCAAAATGTCCTTGTATGGAAACATCAGCCATCTTCTTCTTCAACTCTCTTTTGTCAGCAAACTCAAGTCCGATGGCCAAATTCGACCCATCTTCAAAGCCACCATCCAATGTCGCGTCTACCTCATTACCAAAAGACGTATCAAAAGAAGGAGCGTCCCTCCGAATAAAGCACTCGTCCTCATTTAACTCATCATTATCACCACCAATATAATCATCTTCATCCACTTGAGCAGTTGCTGGGCTCTTCACAGAAGTGGCATTAGACTCAACGAATTGAGGATTTTGATCACACCTTCCTGCATTTTTCTAAAAAACAATACCTTCTTGATCACGCCCAGATTCTTGATCAGCAACAATCGTAAAATTGAAGAAGTCATCTTGGAAGCAATCAATCAGGGGAACGAAGGGGTCAATTGCTGATTGCAATCCCAAGAGTTCTTCTTGGACTTCATGTATTTGCTCTTCTTGTTCTTTTTCTTCACGTTCAACTGGAACCATCTCAACATGCCAGGCTGTAAAGTTTTGCTTTAATTCCAAAAGAAATACATGTAGTGTTTCACTTGAATCGATGGAAAAGGGTGGAATATTTTTTTCAAGCCGTTGAATTTGAAATATAATTTTTGGCCATTGATTTTTCATATCACAACCAAGCTTTTGAATCATGGCTTTCAAAAAGGCATCAAAGTCCAAATTAGTAACATCCCAAAACAACGAAGTTATATTCTTGCCGGATCCACTGTAAACATACTTCCCTTCGTGATCTGTGGTTCACTTTCCACCATAAACAACATATAATATAACAGGATCTGTACCCATCTGCAATCGAAAAAACATAAACAACATAAAATATCACATTTAAGTGTATTCGAAATTCGTCGAAAGAATGTCGAATAGTCGAGACCAATTGAAATAACGTCGAATATTCGTAAACATCATAATCATATCCGAATATTCCCTAAATGTTTGTATGGTTTCGCAGACTATGTTCGAATAGGGTTTATTTCTATCTTAGATATGTAGGGTTTACCATAAGATATGTAGAATCATAACACAATTGGCTCAATTAGAGTTTTTCGTGAAAAATTACTCCTCTGTAACTCTTTAGTGTAAAGAAAAATTAGGGTTTGTAATCAAATTTTGGGGTATCGAAAATTAGGGTTTACCGTAATCTCTTTCTGCTCTTTTTCCTCCTTCTACGCTACGCAATAGCTTCTAAACGCGTTCCCCAATCTTATCGTTTTGCTCTGCTTTCAAATTAGGTTGCCAATTTGCAGAACAAATGTGTAGTGTGCGTACGATTGAGGAGCTGGAGGGGAAAACTGAAATAGTTAATTTCGAGTCGGGTTAAAAAGGGGGGAAATCGTTAAACGGCTGTGGAACGAAATTAGATTCTTTCGACAATAGCTTTCGAAGAATAGGGGTAATTTGGGAATCTCACATGCTAATTTTTCATGCTTTTAAGTGAGGGTAGATAGAGGGTAGTCTCATAATATCAAACCTTTTTTGGACATTTTTATAAGAGAAACCTTTTTTTAGGGCACTCTTATAAAGCGCCGCCCCTTTTTTTCCCACTTAGTCTTAGTTTGATTTCTTTTTACTTTATTTTAATAATTAATTAGTTTTATTTTATTTAGGGGTGACTTTGTTTAAAATATCGTTCCCTAACTTCTTCGGCTATTCTTCTTTTTTAAGTTGTTCTCAGTTCGGATTCTTTTTATTATATTGAAATAATTAATAAAAATTGTTTTATTTAGGGGTGACTTCGTGTGAAACATTGTTCCCTAACTTTAATTTAATTTTTTGTTGTAGATATTACTCACATAATAAAAAAGGACATGATAAATTTGCATCTCTCATTAACCTGGAGATTTTTTCAAGTATTGTTAGGCGTGTCGTAGCACCTACAAATTAATTTATTATTTTCCTTAACTTAAATCCCCCTTTATGAATTAATATTCATTAAAACATATAGATAGGGCAAGTAAGGGTCGATCCCACGAGAAAAGATACTTTTATTGATATGAAAATTAGTTCACTTGTCACTTTTATTGAATAAAAACTAACTAAAATCTAAAAACCTAAACTAAAGGATATGGGGGGGTTTGAATGATAATTCTAAAAAGATAAAAATGCAAATAAAATAAGATAAAGGATAACAGATAAGAGATGGAACTACAACAGCAATTCAAACTCAGAAGACACCCAAGGAGAAAACAAACACAAAAACAAACACACATTTAAACAATATAAGAACGTAGACAGTAATAATTAACTTAACCCATTTTGAAAATACTTATAGTTTTTAATAGAAAATAAATTGAACAAATATGACTAACTAATTAATTATGCCTTGATTCTGAAATTAAACTGCTAATTAAACTCAGGGTTTGGCTGAAGAAGAGGTCTACCAACGGCTTTTCCCTATTTTCCCATTCATAGTAGCTCATGTTAAGACCAACCCTGACTCTAAACCCTACTACCCTTAGCAACCCAAAGACCAACCCTTAAGTTACTACTAAGAATAGCGCATTAAGATTTGTGGAAAACATCACCATAACAATCTTGCAGTAACACTACGGTTATTTAACAAAATTAGTTCGAGAACCTTGATTAGCAAAAATCACTTAACGAGGCAATCTAGTACTAATCAAATGACACTTAGTTTCTAGAAAAGTTCGGCTTTTTAAAGCACTTTGGACTTTAAAAGAATATCATTTTAAATTGGATTAGGTCGCGATCCTAATTTGACCCAACTTAAGTAAAGTCAATTGAAAAATACCTTTTCGAGTTTAGATTTTAACATAAGCGTAGAGCTAAAATCTCTCCAAAGTCAAATTAATTCAACAAACAAAGATTCAATCTTTTTGTCAAACAATCCGGCCTAAGAAGGTTTTATAATTTCAGAGACAATAATAAATCAATAAATCATATTTGAACAATTCAACATCAACACACAACCAAATCAACACTTATAATATAACTTAAACATTCAACAAACATGGAATTGAAAATAGACATATTTAAATATTGGAAGTCAAATTCATCAATTTGGAAAAAATAACAAAATCTAAAATCCTTATAAAAACAAAATCAGATTGGAAAGGGAAAAAGTTGCTCCCTGGAGTGTGCTTCTTCGTACTGTGCAAAAATCCAAGCACCAGACGCCATTGCCTTCCTCCACAATAGCCCTTGCCTGTGTCCCCTGCTCCAGTACCCGTCGCCACCATCACCGGAGTTGAGTCGCCGAGTGCCGCGCCGGACCTAGGGTCGAAACCCTAGGTCGGCTCTCTGTTCCGTTTCCCTCTCTGTTTCGGATCTGTTCCCCGTATCCGCCCCCCTTTTTTTCATGATTGAAGTCCCCAATTTATAGAATTGGAATGAGAATTTGAGTTGGAGAAGAGGACTCTCTGTTTCTTCCGCTTGACTCTCTCTGCGGTGTTATCTAGGGAGCATGTGTTTCCGGTTTTATCACTTTTGATTAGGGCTGGACACGGTACCGGTACGGTACCGTTACCGGCAACGGTACCGCCGGAACCATCTACCGTCACCGTCGCACGGCACGTCCCACCGGTGTCAGGAACCGGTACCGGAACCGCCCCAACCGGTACCGGTACCGGTACCCAAATTTTCGTCTCGGAACCGCCGGTACCGGTACGGTACCGGTACCGTTACTTTATTTTTTTTTTCCTGCACCTGCAATAGATCTGCCAACCACTTGTCTACCTGCAAAAAAAAGAAGGGAAACATTAAAGGGAAGGGGGAAGTCGGGGAACTAGTTTTCAACGGGAGGAACAAGTGGCTGCAACAAAAAATTACGGAGTATTAAACAGATCGGCAATTCGGATTGCTTTAAACAGATCGACACATAGAGGGATTAGTCTTCAACAGATCTGCAAACTTCAAAAATATTAAAAAAAGCAAAAAAAAAAGTGGGGGGAGGCAAAACCGGCCGGTCCGGTACCGGAACCGCCGGTCCGGGAACCGGAACCGGTACCGGCCGGTCCGGTCACGGTACCGGTGCCATGGGGTGGCGGTACCGGAACCGGCGGTTACGGAACCGGAACCGTCCCGAACCGTACCGTGTCCACCCCTACTTTTGATTGGGCAAGTGGGTATTAGCTCACTATTAGGCTAGGAATGACTTGGATAAGAATTGGCCCAAAGTGGGATTTTGGGCTAAATACTTTATCTCTTAAATTTTATTCTCAAAGCTCTAATAGTCCAAAATCCAAATTGTTGTCTTCCTTCACTTTGTGTCCTAAAATATATTTAATAATTAGTATGTCAAGGGAAATAAAGCTTCGAGATAATTTTAGATTATAAATATGCTTAAAATTATGCATTTTATTTATAAAATGTAAACAATAGCCTAAAATGCTAAATAGAACAACATGTGATTTTTTTGGTATAAAATACATATAAAATACTTTAAAAGTACTAAAAATGAGATAATAAAATATGACATTTTGTGACTTAACAAGTATCCTCATAGAAAAAAGATTGACGTATCATGTTTCCTGAACATTAACTTTGTGCTATCTTGTGGTGTCTTTTTTGTGAAGATGTTTATTTTTTACTGGTTCAAGAAATACTTTGGAGCCCATTCCTTGGGAGATGGGGTTATTTCATATGGATTACACACTTGTGACCTTACCCCAGATAAAAAAGCAGGTGTAATGCCACGAAAACCGGTCTAGAAGAATTAACTACGTAAATCACCAATTTTGACCGTGTGGGTCTCGATGGCCTAAAAAATTAAAAAAATAGGAAAAGTATTTTGAATACGTCTTTGAGTTCTATTTACTTTTCCAAGTTCACAAATATGATTTGTTTCGAAATCGGACTCTGTTTGGAAAACAACCTGAAATTCAAATAGATAAACTATTTCTTTTCGAACAAGGATTTTTTATCCCAAAATAAAGGAATCTCTGCATCATGTCTTAATCCCATCGCCACATTTGAGTGTGATTGATTGCCCAACATAAGCATCATCCTCCTCACCTCAATGTCTTGTGGTTACACTACATGGATATCATCTCTCCATCCCCCACCTTGGAATATAGCCTAAGGACACATTGAGAAAGATGTCTTCATCCTTCCTCCCCAAATCCTTGATTTTGCACTACAAAATACTCCTTTTCCACTCATTCATTCACTTTAGCACTTAGAAATATCCCTGCAAGTTTCTTCGTCTCCCCAAGTTTCTTCATCCACCATTAATGGAGTTCCATTCCTATCATTATTATACTAATGTTAACGCTCTTCTCACGCCATTTACCTCTGCAATACCAAGGTTCGAAGAGAAGATCTCAAGACAAGGAGAGCTAGAAATAAATAGTGATGTGCATTCGTTGACCGTACGTGAGGTGTTAAGATTATTGTGTTCCCCTACGAACTCTAAGGTCTGTACCCAGACTTGTTCCGACGTTAGATTCCTTAGAATCATTTATAATACATGATTTCCTATACCTACATGTCATTCTATGATAGTCATACTGATAGTCTCGATAAAACGCTCAACTTGATATCCATGAATCATCGACATCGGAGAATGCTTGAAAAATGTGCCAAAAAGACCCTATAATACCTCTAACCAGCTTGGTGTTCCAAATTATATTATATATAATCAATATCAATACTTTTGGAACCATCTCGTAGCTTAAAACAGATCAAAAAATGTGTAAGAACCGTCGAGGAATCGATCACTCGATGATAGAAAAGAACTCCGGAAACTTTTTTTAAGTTCGGGGATTCGATCACTAGGCTTGGATCGATCCCCTGGTGTAATTTTTTTTAAATGCAACTTTTTTTCATTCGGGGGATCGATCACCCGACATTCCAACTCAAATTTAAACCATTTTTCAATATTGTATAGATGATAAATTTTTGATATTTGTTTGATTGATTTATAACCATATTTTAACTTCCAAAAATACTAAAAATGAATGTTTTGGACTAGAAGATCTGTAATACCAAAATTGATTATGTCAAATCATATTTTCCAAATGTTCTAATAACCAAACGATATCATTAGACGGGTTGGACTAGAAGAATTTAAGTACTATATTGTGTGGTTTAAACTTGAGATTCTCACAAGATCCATTCCATTAACATGATTAAATGATGTCTAATAATTAAAAAGGATATTTTGGATGATATTATGTTAGAGACCTTATGATAAACTTTATATGCTCCAATCCGTAAATGTGATGATTATGATGGTGGCACTAATAACCAAAAAGGTATTTTTGGATAATATAAATCTAGATTATTTCTAGTGGTAAATAGTGCGGGTTTGAGGGTATAGATGTGGACGATGGAGTTGAGTATGTACGTACATTAGGTCCATACTGGTCAGGTGACCGGGGATCACTCAACTCGTGCATTTAGAACCAGAAGAGTCTTTATACCCAGATTGGAAAAAGCCACAGAATAAATTATGAACCTGAAGAGAAGGGCGCTCGGACCCAGACTCAGACATGGGAAGTCTTATCGAGTCTACCTCTAAAACGAACAACTCAGTATGGCGTGAGTATAAAACATAAATGGTTAAAATAAGGGATGTCACTATTATTGTATAGTGATTGATTAAATTCAGGATGCTGACTTACTCAGTGTTACAGATTAATTCCTATTAAAGATACTCTCTTGATAAAACGAAGGAACAATAATGATTTATCAAATCTATAAATAAAGTATATTTGGCAATAATACCGTTTGTGTTTAATAAGTACGTTGGATATGTATTATTATACGAAGAGATGTTCTTACACCTTGTCATAAAATGAAAAATGTCAGAATTTATGATTACAGGTTTCATACAGAAGACAAAGTGGACTTTCTCAAATAGAAGGATTTAAATTAGAATTAATTCCCGTATGTATGTGAATGTGTTTCATGAATTATTGTATAGAATCTACGTTGTGGTACCACTCAGCGGTTTAGCTGAGCGCAGAGTTGTCTTTGTTGTGTGACTGTGCGTAGGTAATAAGCTATGGCGTCTACCCAGAAGATGCTGAGGCGGGAGAGTTGGCAGAAGGATGCGAGAACTATTTTTAATATTTTGAAATACTTTTGGGCTTGAACCCCTACATGTAAATATTTTGAATCTTATTTAGCTTCCACAACGTTTAAATTAAATTACTCCGAAGATTATTTTATCATGTTTTGAGGAGACTATGTTTTAAATGCTTTTAAATTACTGTTAGTATTACTTTTAAAAAATGATGGAATGTTACTTTACCAAATTGCTAGAACTCTAGTCCGCTAATCTGCGTGAACTGGGTTATGCGAATCGGGGTGTTACAGCAGGTCTCATAGACGCAGGTCCCGGAGTATGCTGAGAACACGGGATCACATTTTCATCCCCTCTGTTGACCTCCTCCTTTCTGACATGTGCCCAGGTGATTCAGGACGCACAGTTAGAGAGCATGGTCGCTGCCTCCTCCACTGACATAGCCATGGAGCTTGCCTTGGGGCGCTACCATCGATTTCGGGCACCAAATGTTTGATTAGTGAATTATGTGCCTTACACCATTGCTAACTCATTCAATGAGTGGTGTAAGTATCTTCTTACTTCATACATTGCTTATGATCATTTTTAGCATCTTATAAATGTTTTCTCACAAGTTTATATTCTAAATTTGAAATTTGATACTTTAGATGCCAATGACATGTGGTTCTTATGCCAGCACCTACTTCAATAAATCCAGTCAGGAGTGAAATAGTTTACAAAATTAAACGTAAATCTGATGAAAGTATTGAGCACTATAAGGTCCATCTTGTAATTTTTGACAACTATTAGGTTTAACGAAACATTCGCTCCAGTTGCCAAGTTGACAACTATATAGTGTCATGGTTCAATCATGGGAGTTGCATCAAAGAATGTTCATAATTTCTTCCTTCATGGAAATCTTGAGCCAAAACGTTTTATGCACCTACCACTATAGTTCATAACTTCCACGTTTAGTCTTGTTTGTAAGTTGAAAAAGAAAATTTGTACGACTTGAAAAATCACCACAGTGTTTGTTTGCTAAACTTTCATAGACTTTCAAACATTATAGTTTTGTTCAATCCATCTATAATTATTCCTTTATCTCTGTATGGCGTAGGAAGGTGACCCATGTGCTTGTGTACATGGATGATTTAGGTATTGTAGGAAACCATGCGTAATTAAATGTGAAATTTAAATTCTATTTTGTTAGAGTGCATCCCACATTGGAAAGTCTTAGAGTAAGATAATCGGTGTATAAGCTTTTAAGTTGAACTAACTAATTGATTGGATTCAATCTTTTAATGTGGTCCAGCTCAAGTGTCTTATAGCCCAATCTAGTTATCCATACCCCATCCTAAATTCTATCATGGTATCGGAGAAGGTTTTGGCTCACCTCGTTTGTCAAGGTGTCCGTCTAGATGTTCATTCCTAACGGCCCGTTAGTCTTTAGCCCAGTTGTCCGTATGGAGTATGTACCCAACGGCCTGTGGCCCATTTAACACGATTGCTCGTCTGGAAGTTTATACCCAGCGGCTCGTAGTCCTTTAGGTGTTGGCGCTCAAAAAAAGTCAAGGGAATGTGAGTTCATTTGCAAGTGGTCAATCGAATAGATTCAAAATGGCCCGGTTGTCCACTTGAGGAAGAGTGTTAGAGTGCATCCCACATCGAAAAGTCTTAGAGTAAGATAATCGGTATATAAACTCTTAAGTTGAAATAACTAATCGATTGGATTCAATTTTTAAATGTGGTTCAGCTCAAGTGTCTTAAAGCCAAATCCAGTTGTCCATACCCCATCCTAAATTCTATCATATTTGTCTAAACAATTTTCATATGAAAGATCTCAAATTATAACAATTTTTTTGGCAAAATTCACAAGAATACTCCTAGAAATTACATATTTTACATAAATACTCCCAAATTTATTTATTTACGCAATTACTCCTATATTTTTCTCTTATTTATGTCGTTACTCCCAAATTTGGTAGTGATCATTAGGGTAACTTGGATGTGTCTTTTAGTACTAAGTGAAAAAGTTCAAATGCTGACGTGTACTTTTTTTACTCTAAAATACCAACTTTGGTAGTATTTGTCCAGTTTGACTTTTTCGAGTCAAACTGGATAAACTTTGAATTCCAATTATTCTCAATTTATATTGCATATTAGTATAATGAAATACAGAGTACAATTTTGAAAATTCTCAATACGATAAATCCAATAAAATTATTTTTATGTTAAAGTACATTACGATTTTTATTTAATTGAAGCTCAAAGTTTGTCCAGTTTGACTCGAAAAAGTCAAACTGGATAAATACACAGGGACGGAGGGAGTATTATCTTTCATCGTCTTTCTCGCGTCTCAGTAAGCCTAATCATTGCCCTTATATCCCATCACTTTTAAAAATTCTTCCAATTTCGATCTTCATAAATCTTTTTCATGCTTGATATCAAGTCTGTTCATATTAATTTAATTTGAATTCGGTCAAAAATATGAAGAACCCTATTTGAAACGACGCACCCAAGTAAGACTGATGATGACCAAGACACTCGCGGAGTAATGACGTAAATAAGAGACAAATGTGCGAGTAACTGTGTAAATTAATGAATTTGGGAGTATTTATTCAAGGAAAAATTTTCTCTATATATGACTAAAAGATACTACATTTTCTTGAATCGGTTGGGTCCTAGTGACACCTGAGTACGGTGAGTCGGTGACACTCCGGTGCCACTGTGATTTTAGAGTACTTTCGGTGCTCCGTTCGTAAAATTGATAGTTCCTATCCCCTAACACCCCCCTAAACCCCCCACTCTACCCCCACCCCTGCACCCCCACCCCAACCCCGCCGTAAGCCCCCCACAATGACATCGCTAGTGTCACTAAAAGTGGGTGTCACTAGAACTTCACCGTTTTTGAATAGGACCAACTATGTTGTATTCTCTTTATGGTACATAATTCTATATGATCTGCAATATATATACATTCATTAGTAATAACTGTTTGATAATAACTGATTATATGAATAACTCTACGAATGTGATAATTAGCAATAAATATTAAATAATGACTAATCATTTTAATGACTATTCAAATTATTTTTAATAATGTCTTATTAAAATTGTTTTCAATAAATAAAAAAATAAATTAAAGAAAACATGTTTGTACTTTGTAGTCATCAAGTCTACAAATTATGGACATAGTTGGAACAAATATATGGAGACTAGAATGGTTTTAGAACGTAATAATTCCGGTTCAAACTTAAGAAATGAGTTGGACGGAGCCAACCGGTAATACTTGCCCGACGAGTTTCTCCCTTCTTCAGCGAATCGGATCATCCCCAAACCCAACCCAATTTCCCGCCAAAAAAGAGGTGTCTCCTCCCTTCCGCCGCCATTACTGGCCCTAGGTTTTCACCTTCGTCTCTGCAACAATGGTGAAATTGATTCAACTTCTCCGCCTAGGGTTTCTTTTGCTGTTCACCATCATTTCTCTGCCACAAAACTCACTTTCCCAGCGAGGTAATTCCATTGATGATGACTCACTCCTCGCATCTCTCTCGATCTCCCCGTTCTTGATTTTCCGGCAGCCAAGAATTGATCTTTTTCTCCTTTTTTTCCCTTTACAGATTCGTTTTACATGGATTTTGTGGTGGATGCAGTGGAGATGCCGTCGGAGGACTACTACGATTACATCATCGTCGGAGGGGGGACCGCCGGTTGTCCGCTGGCGGCGACTTTATCGGAGACCTACAAGGTTCTGGTTCTTGAAAGAGGCGGCGTTCCGTTTGGGAACCCGAATTTGATGACCCAAGAGGGGTTTCTGGCGGCCTTATCGGAAGTCGACGCCTTTGACTCCCCTGCCCAGACGTTCATCTCCGAAGACGGCGTCCCCAACGCGCGCGGCCGCGTTCTCGGCGGGAGTAGCGCCATTAACGCCGGGTTCTACAGCAGAGCCGACGAGGAGTTCTACTCCAGCTCCGGGATCAACTGGGATTTCAATCTGGTGAACCAATCGTACGAGTGGGTGGAGAGATCCATCGTTTTCCGGCCGGAGCTCAAGAGCTGGCAATCGGCGGTGCGGGACGGTTTGCTGGAAGCCCGAATCGACCCTTACAACGGCTTCACCCTGCACCACGTTCTTGGCACCAAGATCGGCGCGTCCACCTTCGACAACTCCGGCCGCCGCCACAGCGCGGCGGATCTACTGTTCTTCTCCAATTCCAGCAATATCCGGGTGGTGGTGTACGCGTACGTGGAGAGGATTCTTCTGGCGTCGACCACCGCATCGCTGGATTCGAAGCAATCGGCCATCGGGGTGATTTTCCGGGACCGGATCGGGCAGTTCCACCACGCGATGGTGAAGGACAACGGCGAGGTCCTGCTTGCCGCCGGCGCTCTGGGCAGCCCGCAGCTGCTCCTATTAAGCGGAATCGGGCCGAGGCTTTACCTATCTTCTCTGGGCATCCCGGTGGCCCACCACTCCCCCTACGTCGGCCAATTCCTCTTCGACAATCCAAGAAACGGAATCTCCATTGTCCCTCCAATCCCTCTGGAGTATTCTCTCATACAGGTGGTGGGCATCACCGGCGACGGCTCATACCTCGAAGCCGCCTCCAATTTCATTCCATTCGCATCCCCGATCAACTCAATATTCATCAGAGCCCCGGCGTCGCCCGTCTACCTGGCCGTGGCGACGCTGATGCAGAAGATCTCCGGGCCGACTTCCGTCGGGTCACTCAGACTAGCCTCGCCGGACATCCGGGTCAACCCGGTGGTCCGATTCAATTACTTCAGCGACCCGGGGGACTTACAGAAGTGTGTGAACGGGACAAGGAAGCTCGGGGACCTGCTGAACACACGATCCATGGAGGTGTACAAGTTCGATCAGAGGTTCGGAGGGAGGGATTTCCGGTACGTCGGGCCTGCGTTGCCGGTGAACCAGTCCAGCGATGCTCTCATGGCGGAATTCTGCCGCCGAACAGTGAGTACTATCTGGCATTACCACGGCGGGTGCGTGGTGGGGAGGGTGGTGGATGCAGATCTCAGACTGATCGGAATCGACGCCCTGAGAGTCATCGACGGCTCCACATTTACTGTTTCTCCCGGGACCAATCCTCAGGCCACTCTGCTCATGCTCGGACGGTAAAGTATTCCACTTCACTTCTATCATTCAATTCAATACATCATCCATAGATTTGAATGTCAATATATTTATATGTGTTAAATATGGTGTGTATGTTTGGATGCAGACATGCTGGATTGAAGATATTGAGGGAAAGACAAGGCTAGGAGAAGTGTATGTGCACATATGGATGGAGTGTTGTAGCATTGGTTTTGTTCTTGTTAGATGTACGTACATGTGCATGTTTTAGTAGACGAGACGAGACAAGACCAGACAGAGATTATTCAAACTAATCAAAAAAGGGACGGGCTCCTATCTCATGTCTAACATCTCTTCTCCTCCTATAATTATAATTATAATCCCAATTCCATTCTTCAAAGGTGCACTTTTAAAATTTCATTGGAGGCCCACTTTGAGTATGATTGAGTATCAATATCAATTTTAGTCTTTTTTTTCCCTCGCAATTAAGTTCCCAAAATTATACTCACTAATAACAAACTAAAGAGTAGCAATGTTTTGAATTTATAAGGAACTTAGTTGGTATTTAAATTACAACTAATGTGGATCTTGAAGAAAATATAGTCGCACTTATCTTGAATAAAACGTCATAAAATATGATACCATATTAATAATTCTATTTCAATGTAGTATCTTTTCATTCATTCTAAACATATTAAAGATCCTTGGCGATATGGTACATTATTAAACTAGTATCACGCCCGTGCGTTGTATGGGTCATTTTTATGTTATTAAATTAAGATCATTTTTCAATGATAAAAAATGAGATACAATAGAATATAGAGATTATAGTATTTAAAGATACAAAATATCATTGCTTTACAAATTTCGAAAAATTTCTTTATAGACTACATTATTTGTATAATTTGTGTTAATATTGTCTTTAGTGCATATCCGAATCTTCAACTTACTACAATTAGTTACTCTTGAAATTGCAACATAGAGATGTACATGACTAATCACGTTTTGGTAAGTTTTTAATACTTATTATTATTATTAAAAAAATGCTATTAATGCCGATTATTACGAATTTAAATTACTTACCTTTTACCTATTTCTAATTTAAATTAATGACGTTAGCATTGTTATTACCAATTTAAATTACTTACCTTTTACCTATTTCTAATTTAAATTAATGACGTTAGTATTGTTATTACCAATTTAAATTACTTACCTTTTTACTTATTTCCAATTCAAATTAATCACATTAGTATTATTATTTCTTTATAATCACATTTGATAAGTTTTTAATACTTATTATTTTTAAAAAAGGAACTCTATTATTACCGAATTATTAATACGAATTTAAATTACTTAGTACCTTTTACCTCTTTCCAATTAAAATTAATGACGTTAGTATTATTATAACCAATTTAAATTACTTACCTTTTTACTTATTTCCAATATTTACCTTTTACTTATTTCCAATTTAAATTAATCACATTAGTATTATAGAAATCATCCTAAATAGGACAAAAACATAGATAAAAGTACCAAAATATGACTTTCATGTTTTTTTTCCCAGAATAGGACTTTGCACTGTGGTAATGTGACCTTGCATTGTGGTAATGTGGCAGTGTATATGTGCAAATTATTATGCTTTTTTGGTAATGTATATGACCACTGTTCGTAATGTAAGTTCTATTTTGGGAATAAAAACATGGAAATCCTATTTTGGTATATTTTCAAAGTTTTAGTCATACTTTGGTCTTTCTCCCTTAGTATTATTATTACCAATATAAATTACTTACCTTTTTACTTATGGTAATAATTATATTACCATAAGTAAAAAATGATACTTACTAAAAGAGGAATATTACTTTTAAAACACCACGCTTTCAATTCGTATGGAGTGTACTAATTATTTTGGGTATAAATAAGTATTATGAGTACTGATTGGAAACCTCCAAAATTTTTGTAAGAATAAGTAACTGTCATTTTTAATTTTTTTTGTAAAAGGGTGAAATTAATATAGCTATTATTTTTATAATAATTAACGTGAGTACTATAAAATCGTAAGCATGAGTAGTATAAAATGGTAAACGTGAGTTTACCTTTTTTAATAATTAACGTATTAAAAAAGGTAAGTAATATACAATTCCAAAACGTAAGTTTTTAATAAAGGTAAATTATATAATTGCAAAGCGTAAGTTTTTGAAAAATGAAAATAATTAAAAAGATAAGTTATACAGTTATACTTCCAATTAGACATAAGTGTTTTCCAATAATTATTTTAACTTCCGATGATTAAAAATGACAGTTACTTATTCTTACCATAATTTTAGATGTTTCCCATCAGTAGTCAAAATAACGTTGGTTAATTATTNAGTTTACCTTTTTTAATAATTAACGTATTAAAAAAGGTAAGTAATATACAATTCCAAAACGTAAGTTTTTAATAAAGGTAAATTATATAATTGCAAAGCGTAAGTTTTTGAAAAATGAAAATAATTAAAAAGATAAGTTATACAGTTATACTTCCAATTAGACATAAGTGTTTTCCAATAATTATTTTAACTTCCGATGATTAAAAATGACAGTTACTTATTCTTACCATAATTTTAGATGTTTCCCATCAGTAGTCAAAATAACGTTGGTTAATTATTACTCCGTAGCATATAATACATTGATTCCAAATTTATTTAAAACTTTAACTCTGCAATTTTATAACTTACCTTTTTAATAATTTCCAATTTTCAATACGTTAATTATTATATATATAATAATTATATTAACGTCACATTTACCATTTATATTACTCACGTTAATTATTATAAAAATATAGCTATTATTATATTTATACCTTTTTTAATATAATTATAAATCCACAATTGCCATACGTACAACCATATTCAAATCCACAATTGCCACAATTGCCATATTTAATAATTATAAATCCACAATAATTACTACATAATGGTTGTTAATATAATGGCAATTGAGTTGGCAGAATATTACCATTTTTGGCGGAATATAATTCCAATTTTAATTGCTTATCTTGATTATATTAACCGTGTAATATAATTGCAAGCAATTGCCATAATTAGGTTGGAGGAATATTACCATTTTATTGTTTAACCGTGGAACATTAATATTAATTGTAATTGAGTCATTACCATTTTAAGTGAACATTTGCCATTTTTATTGCAGTAACAAATGGGCGGGAAAACAATCTCACGAATCCATGACTTTTTAAATAAAGTATGGATGGATTTATCATTCTAAATAAGAATAGAGTAATTAATTAATTATGCATGCAAAATTATTCTAAAAAGGAAACAACGTAGATCTTGTTTGCAAAATTAGTCCCTTCCTTTTTTACCAAAATTAAGTAATTATGCATTCGAAATTTCTTTTAATTTACCATTCTATTATTCTTAAAAGTATTTTCTTTTAAGAATAGAGTGATTAAGTAAATAATTACCTATTTAATTAGGCATAAATAATTAATTTTTGATAAAATAATCAGGCGTAAATTATCCAAAATAATTATAATAATAATAGTAATAATAATTAGGCATAAATAATTACCTATTTAAAAAGGAAACAAAATATAAAAAATCTCTTGCACCGTTCCTTGTTTTTTTATCACAATCAAGTAATTAGGCGAAATTGGTTAGGAAACAAATTACTCCCTTCCTTTTTTATCAGAATAGAGTGATTATGCATGCAAAATTTCCTTTAATTTATCATTCTAAATAGGTAATATTACACAATCAATCATAGCCGGAGATCTTATTTATTCTTTCATATCGACGGCGGAGGAGATGAGTGCATTGGGCGGGAAAATAATTCCCCTGCTTTTAAGAATAGAGTGATAAGGACATGTTTCATTACAAAAGCAAATTTATTCTACAATATAATTTATATTCCTTTCATCCAAAAATGATTTTACTTTCTTTTTTGCCCTTGAATATTTAGAAAAAATGAATAAAATAAAAATGTAAAATGAACAATGGAGATGTGATAGTCTGATAGATAATGATAACGAAAAATAACGAGGATAATAAATCTATAGTGGGTGATGAGTGGGTAACGATGAATAGGAGAACAAATATCTTCTTAGGATAAAAGTTTTTTGCTAAAAAAAAGGAAAAAGAATATTTTTGAAAAAACAAAAAAAGAAAGTGAGAAGAATTTATAGACGGAGGAGTATTCTTTAAAATCAAGAACTCTAGGAAGATCTTTGACGCCAGCTTTTTTTGCAGTTTGTTTTCATTGAATCAGAAAGTCCTCAATTGTTATATTAAGCAGATGAGATATGTTGATATTTAATCTCTTTGTTTTATTGGTGATACATCTTTGTCTTCAATTTTTTCCCCTTTGAAGTATATCATATATTGTTATGGTCTGGGTTGCCATTCTGAGATCCCTCCATTACAAACTTTGTCTTTTCAAAGATATTCAGATGTGTATATAACCCTATACTCAACCATGTCTATAATATCACTATATTATAGAGGTTAATATTGTAAATTTGTAAGCAGCACCGGTTCTTGATTCTGCAGAACGAGAACCAGCGGTCCCACGACAAGAATCCGGATGGTAAAAACAGAAAACAAAGGAACATGCAATACACCAGTGTCGAAAAGACGATAATCGCAATGCCATTGATTTAACAGCCAAAAACAATATCCTCCAACAGAAAGGGGAAGGGAAAAGTTCCACACTTTATCAAGTAAAGCGAACGTTGTTTATTGCCGAAGTGCTCTAAACATGGAATAAGATAGCATGGCAGTGCAAATGTTGATCCATACACGGCCACAAGTGATGCGATTAAACCTCATTCGCCCGGCGTGTCTGAGCGAATAGCTGTGAAATAAAATCAATACGAGTGTATTAGGTCCCGGAGATGCTAAAACCTTGCAAAGAAACCAAAAGATTTATATTCATGACAGCACCAAAAGGCAACCACTACTAAAGGCATCACACCTTTAGAGCAATATATAACTTAAATTCCATTCGCGATCATCAAATTCTATGCTTATGACAAAGAAATGATGAGAATATACCGATATTTTGGAAATTTTCATCCAAATTCCCTTATTTTAAAGTCACTGATATCGATATATGGTACCCTAGTATGAAAGTTGTTAAAAGACTACATAAAGGGAGAAGTAGAAGACAACTAAGAAGAAGAAGAGAGTTCATTTAAGCATATTGCCTACACTTTCAGATCCAAGGCATTCGGGCACATTCTAGAGAACCTTGATTAAAAAGAGAACCTTCCACAACCCAAGACGATCACTCTTTGAATGGGCCCACATGATGGAAAATGCTTTGCACTTAAGGTGTCACGATATGCTTTAAATGAACCTTGATGTTAAAAAGAATTGAACTATGACCAATAGAAATGAGCCACTAGAAGAAGTCACCTACCTATGAAAAAACTACTCCGTATAAAACTCCAATTACAATTGCACCACTGGCTACAATAGTTATTCCATGAAGTTCTACCTTCTATCATCATCCAGAAAGCTCATTGCCACCATAATAATATAGTTTACGATGCTTCCAAAAAATATGATCACCATTGTTACCTCTCAACTACATTGGGTTGGTGACATGAAATATATAGAGTTGCTTGTTTAAAATTACTCTTGGTAACAAAGCAAATTCATGCAGGAGAATTCCAGTGACAAAATCTTAAATCACATACCCATCCTGTAGTATGTATTGACAATCTAAAGAAGGGAGTAAGGGACAACAAGATGAAATTCGGAACCCTTCATAACCAGTTTCACCTCATGATGTAGGAATGAGTTGGAATAATATATATAGTCAGCTCTTATACCAAAATGGCAGAATTTGATATTGTTAAACAAAATCGTAGTGAACAAAATAGAATATGAATTCAGTGTATAATCAGTGTGTGTACTTTGTCCTGTGCAAGGGGGGATGCAAACCACGGAGAAAACCCAACCGAATACGTAGAGCTACAAGCCTATGACCACATCGAGTACAAAGTCAAAATAGAAATGCAAATTACAAACACAAACCTTCAGTTTCATCCGATAATACAACACAAACACGAATCATCCTTTGAAGTTGAAGACGCCAGTCAAAGAATAACACCATGATAATGTTCCTCGGACAACACACAAGAAACAGTTATCACAAAAACTCTATGGTCTAATTAATGGCTAGTCGAAAGAGCCAACATTCCACAAATCCGACACAGGAAAAATAAATCTCACACACCATAAAAATCGACATAGATGTTTAACATAAATTGATGGATAAATTGGACCGGATGCCCTTATCCAAAGGAGGGGCATGCCCTAAATCAAAGCATTATTCACTACAATTCACCTATACCTTCACTACGCCGGATCCAAAATCATCATAGAGCATTAAAATCTGAACTAGGGCACTAATAGCAGCAAATTATAAAAATACAGCGGCCTTTTTATCTGAATGGGGGGAAAACAAAAGATAAGATCACGGATCTGATATGAAAGAATAAGGTGAATCAGTTCTTACTGGGTTTCTGGGGCTTTCCCTCAGCCCATTTGGAGAAGGCGAAGTGGACCTTCTCGCGGCTCATCGCCTCAGATCTGTAGGGTTCCTTGAGGCAGTTCCTCACCATGTTGGCGCACATGTTCGAGTATGTGATGTAAGTCATCCCCGCTGCTCTCCAGAACGGCATCGCCGCGTTCGACGCCATTTCCTTCTTCTCGCTACTTCTTCTCCGCGCTCACCTTTCTCAGCACCGGATCGGGTTCCCGTCACAATTACACCCAAACTCCCCTTTATACTTGGATAGGGATGACAACCTTCGGTTCGGATTGTCATGGGTTGGGTGTAAATGTATCACACAAAATTGGATCACAGTTTGCATCTATATGCGTTTATGAAAAAATATTCATATTTATTAAAAGTGATTATTATCCGTATTTGATTAAGTATCTTCGATTAATAAAAGGCTATGAATTTAGTAATAATGCATCTAATCTGTTTATAATCCGCTCCGCATTGATATCCGTTTAAATAACGATTTATCCGTACAACCAATCCGTTATATATAGTTTTTCTTAATTTTTTATTTTTATAGTTTGTTTCTCTACTGATATCTCAAAATATAAGATATTTTTATATGCAAAATATATGTCTAGACACATAAAAATATGCATAGACATATGAAAATATGTGTATATATATACTGTGTATATCTTTTTATGATAGAATATCATAACCTATAAAAAAAGAAATTAATTATCCCATAAAAACTTATAATTGATTTAATACTATTTTGATTTAGTTTAATTGAAAATTAAAGTATGGTTTAATTTAGTTTTAACCATTGGAAACGGACACGAATATATTCGATATTCGACTGATATCCGACAGATGCGGATAGAGTTTTGATTTTCAACAACAGTCAAGATCTGGATCCTAATCCAATATCTGACAGAAATAAACAAATACAGATTTAGTAATGGAATATTTGGTCCAATTAATATCTGTTTACACCCCTACGGATTGTATAGTGGTTCTCCAAAATTAGTACGGAGTATTTTGTACTTCAAAATAAGGGCTAATAGTACGTGTCTCCCGTGGTTTATGGCTTGAGAATGACGTTAGAGATTAGCATTAGTGTTTTGGATAAATTCTAACGGTGTAGATTACTTTGAAAATGCTAATAACCTTTTCAAAGCGCTAACGATAATCCCAAATGTTATTCCCAAATAGGCCCTACGAAAGAGCATCAAGACTTCATTTATTTTCAAAAGTCATTTGTGAAGTTCTTATACTTTCTAAATAGAACACAAATGCCCCCTTACATATTTTTGATTAAAAAATGACATTTAAGTCCTTTTTTCCTCTATCTTGAATTTTAACTGGTGGTCCCCTAAGTAGTGAGATACAAAGTCTAGAGAGGAGGTGAATAGACTTTGTTATAAATTTAAAAACTTTTTCATTTCTTTTGAAAACGTTAAATAGTTATTAATCTAAAGTCATTGAGAACTTAGATTAAGTGTGCGGAAGTGGCAGAGGCGTTAGCTCTTTATGCGTCATTAGGTTGAGAATGGTATGAACAGATGCTACATTTTAATAGAGTCAAAAGCACTACAAAAATGTAATCTATACTGATTCGCAACTTTATGTCTATATTCAATCTCCAAAAAATTGTGTTCGAGCCTTCACTAACTGCCCTGACAAACATAATTGTGTTTGACAAACTTTACAATGCAAGAACATAATTTTACAGTCTTCTTATTTGATGGGTGTATTACACCTAGGCCTTGGCTTGAGTCGGGTCCAACAGGAATCAACCGAGTAGACTTGAACAAAGCGTAGGAAGGGTAATTCGGACGAATCCAAACATGACCGGTAGGGGTGCAAACCACCTGGGTGAATGGGTGCCCATGACCCTACCAGTGTGGAAGCACGGCTTCGCTGAAAAGATCCACGTGTGATCAAGGTGTCCCTCTGCATAACAACTCGGGTGGGTCTTTGGGTATCGTACTAGCATGCTACTAAAAACCTAGCACGGTTGGACGATAGAAACGTGGAAGCAGCTGGGTCAGGTTGGACTCTTCTACACCCGCAGGCTTTTCTAGACATTCTTACCCACGCACTACGCGTATAGGAAGACAATTGAAGAGAAAAGCGACAAGGGAGAAAAGATAAGCGCTATGAGACAAACACTGTCAGATCGAGCACTGAGTCACGTGGCTAGGCATGGGCGCTCGCCAGCTTGTCCCCTAGCTTTCCTCTAAATAGGTTTGTAACCCTCAGTATAAAGGATTCGATTTTCCTCTCTAAAAGTGTATTGTGCAATACTTCCCTGTACTTTTCTCATACTTAATAATAATCGCACTACAAGTATTCTCACCTATAGTCCTCCGAGTCACTCTCTAATTTTTATGCACTTTCAGTATCTAAACTCAGCAAATTTTCCTATGTTAGTATTACACCAACACAAAATGTTGTTACATCTTTACGGTGTACAAAATGAGGTACAAATTCTTAGGGTACAAATATCATTTTCCTCTTATTTTCCCACATAGGCCAAACTTGTAGCAAAGGCAAGTACACTAGGAAGGAAACTTCCTCCCTCCTTCGCAGTTCGCACCCTTCACTTCAGCTACCGAAAACTACAAACCCATCGGCCCCACTCTCCACCTTCTGGTTGTACACTTGTACCTGTACGGTAATTTGCGGGGAGCGTATTAAAACGTTTTTCCAAAAACTGTTGTAAATTTCTTCTAATTAAATTAAAATCCATCTGTTACGCTGCGGGCAGCGGGTAGGGTGTACGGTCGAGATGTCTCGGACGGCGGAAGCTTCTTCTCCGGTGCCGGCGGGAGAGGGCCGACAGAGAGAGGAAGACGACGGCGACGAAGACCACGGAGGGGTGCATCCGGCGATGAAGGCGGTGGTGTTCGCCTCCATGGCGGGAGCGATGACGTGGACGGTTGCGCGGGGAAACACGGCGGCGGAATTGCCGAGGCTGGACGAGCCCTCGGAGGTGGCGCTGCATCTTCTCGTCACCGCGCTCCTCCTCGTCTCGCTGATTCTCCTCCTCGCTATGGCCCTCACCGGCTGCGTCCACGCGGTCGGAAAATTCCGGAAATCGAGGAAGACGACGTCGTTCTTCTACCAAGAGAATCAATCTGCGTCGCCATTGTTATTGGTCTAGCAAGAAATTAAAAACGCGCAGTCGATTTTGCCTGTAACAAATTTGTTGTGAGAATAATTCAATCGTCAATATTGTATTTTATCCACGTGTACAAATACAAATGAAATCCATAATTTTGATTTGTGTTTTTTTATTGATTTACTAGTATCACACCCGTGCGTTGCACGAGTCATTTTTATGTTATTAAATTAAGATCATTTTTCAAATATAAAAAATGAGATGTAATAGAATATAGAGATTATATTATTTTAAGGTATTGAACATCAATTAAAACACTTGTTTAATTTAAACACTCGTTGATTATCTTACTTATCTCGCCCGGTAAGGTAGCGTATTTATACAATATGAATTTATGAATTTCGGTGTTCCTTTATTATTAATTGGTAATAATTAATTACCAATTTAAGTTACTTAACTTTTTAATAATTTCCTATATAAATTAGTTACGTTAGTATTATTATTATATCTTTATATTCACGTTTGGAAAGTTTTCCATAAATGGGAATGAGTCAAAACCGTGTAACATTAATGACCCGTGCAAAAGAATTATTATTACTTTAAATTACTTACCATTTTAATTGTTTCCATAAGTTGGCCATTTTAACGTTATTTTTTTATTACCATTTTTGTATACGTGTTAAAAATGTACATTACTCTATACGTATTTTCCTATTTTTAATTACAATTTCAAAATGCACGGTTATATTAAAGGATAACATACTAATATATCTATTTTATTAGCGTTTCTTTATTATGGTAATTAGAGTTTTAATTATCTTTTTTATATACGTACTTAATTACTAATACTATATTACCAAACTAATTACCATTTTATTGGCCTTTCTTTATTATTGTAATTAGATTTTTAGTTACCTTTTTTATATACGTTTTTAATAGTTTATTACCAAAACAAATGTTTATATTACCAAAACACGATTCCATTACCATAAAATTACATGTATTAGCGTTTCTTTATTATGGTAATTAGTTTTTTTAATTATCTTTTTTATATACGTACTCAATACTTTATATTAAATACACGTACTTAATACTTTATATGAATTTTATCATTCAAAATACATGTATATATTACCATTTTTAAATGTAATAATTTATTAGATATTATTACATATAAAGTAGTGAATATAATTAAATACAATTACCATTTGTATAAATTAACATAATACCAAAATAATGTATGTATATATTTTATTAGCCTTACTTTATTATGGTAAGTAGATTTTTAATTACCTTTTGTGATATACGTACTTAATTTTTTATTTAACATGGCGTGTGTGTAACACCCCAATCCGTATAACCCGGAATTATACGAATTAAGGTGAAACAAGAGTTAAATAAAAATTTCGCTTGACATTTGACAATGACAATTTATTATAAATATTAAATTTACAGACTCTGGATCGCAACCCATTTAAAAATATTTTCAGAGTAATGCGGAAGTACAATAATAATCAAATCATGACATATTTTAAAATATGTTGATCAAACATTTGCCTGATATCCTTGCATCTCCTCTGACTCAATGCCCTCCGGGAATGGTTCCATCATTGTCTTCTTGTTACCTACGTGTAGTCAACGAAAAAAATACAAACTACACGCTCAGCGAAACCGCTGAGTGGTACCACGCTAGAATTGTAGAATGATTCACAGACGTATACATATACATATATATACGTCCACAAATGTATAATAATATTCATGATATGGCACATTATATCATATGGTCAATTTGATGATTCATGATGATAAATTTTTGATGATAATTACATGATGGCACATTTAATTAATTTGCTTGTGAGGATGATTACATGATACT